GGATTTAACACATATCAACCGATACATTAACTCTTGCATCGACCGATTTGTGTCGGGTCAGATCGACCGATTCATGACACTTGTATCGATCGATTTGTCACCTCGCAGATTCATGGCATATTTCAACACTGAGTGTTGACTATTATTCTACAAAAGCACATGAACAAAAGCAAAAAAAAAAAACTTCTTGAAAATTAAGTTATTGGAGTTTGTTTTGATAATGTATTATACTATAGATTTTATATAGTTTTAATTGAATTTTTTACTTATAATTATTATACATTTATTACATTGTAATTTTACTCCTTTTATAAAATATTTATGTTGGTTTCTATGTTAAAATATTTGAATTATATAAATTTTATGTATATCTTTAACAATATAATTATTTTAGTTTTGATTTGATTTTTTAAATATAATTATTCGTTGTCTATAATTAATTGGAGAAAATAAAATAAAATTTATTTTAAAATGTAGCTATTACTTTTATTTTACATTATATTTTTAATAATATTTTAATATAAGTTTATTATTTGAATAATAACAATAAAATAAAATTTATTTTAAAATGTAGCTATTAGTTTTATTTTACATTATATTTTTAATAATATTTTAATATAAGTTTATTATTTGAATAATAACAACATTTTGTATTTTTATTGTTTTCAAGAGAATATTTATTACTAATAATTTGTTTTAGTTTGAAAAATATAAACCAAAATCTGATGTCACCATTCAAATTTCAAAGATTAAATTCACATCAGAATTAAAAACCAAAATCTAAAATTTAAGAACTTAAATCAAAAAAAAAACTTAAATTCAAAAACCATGTAAATAAACATGACCTTGATAAGATTAAATGGTAGGAAACGCAGGACCGGTCTGATTTTAATAAATAAACTAGATTTTGACCCGCGCTTGAAAGCGCGGAAATTTTTTATGATTAAAAATTTATATAATTCGATTTTGTCTTAATTTTAAGAATGTTTTGGTATAAAATCAGTTCACCAAAATTTGTGGTGATGTTTGTTTTTCATTGGTTTTTAGTTTCAGTTTTTATTTTTAGATTTTGTTTTATGTTTTGATTTTTGGTTTTTAGTTTTTAAGTTTCTACTTTTGATTTTCAGCTTTTGGTTTGGATTTTAAATTTGTAGACCCGCTGAGTTAGTTTGAACTAATATTAACAACAAATAAATCCCAAATAATCGAATATCTAATTTAAAACTGAAAAGATGACAATTTTTTTTAAAAAAAAATGCAATAGTTTATTTTGTAAATAAACAAAAACAAAGAAAAAAATTGCAATAGTTTATTTTGTAAATAAACAAAAGCAAAAAATATAACCTGCGTTTTCAGCTTTTGGTTTTGGATTTTAGTTTTTAGATTTTGTTTTTGGTTTTGCTTACGTTTTTTAAAAATCAGTAAATTATTTAAGAAAAATAAAACATAAATTATTTAAAAGTTACCTTTGAAATTTATCAAAACAAAGTGATTTTTATTTAAAATAAAAATACATTAACATGTTTTAAAGTACATGATTTAAATAAATGATTAATAATAGATAATTTTGTTTTGTTAAAAATATTAAATACCTTTTGGGCCTGAAAATAATAATTGATTTTTTGATCTATTAAGGTGGAAAGTTTATTCAATGTTTTTTGAAGTTTTTTCTTTAATGTTAAGCCCAAAAACCAAACTTTATAATTTGTTCTAAAAACAAAAGTAAGCCCAAGACTATATTTCATAAATAACCACCGGTTTAATTTAAGTAATACGGTTTAATTAACTATATGGCTTGTATTATTTGTAACACTCTAGAAAAAGTCCAAATTTAAATGACAACTTATATCAGTAGATAAAAAAATGACTCTATTTTAATAGAATAGATGACCTTTTTGGACATGTAACGGTTTGGGTGGAAAATGCAATCCCGGTTCGACTAAAGATAATTTGCTTCGGTTTTCATAATATAAACGTTACAAATCACGTGTCGTCAAACGCAGAAGTAAGAATTATTATCCCTTTTGAAAATATAATAACCATTAAGTAATAAACATTTTTCTCCTAACTTTTTTCGTTCACAATTTGTTTTCCTGTGAAGAGTTGAGAGTTCTGACGATGTGACTCTTCAAAAATTCCGAAAACCGGATAATCCAATTACATAGTAAGTGTTTAGTCTAATATTTGATTCCGATTATTTATGGGTTTCCAATTTTCTTAATTGCTCAATCTTTTCTTTTATAGAAATCTTGATTCCGTTAGAAACCGATGCGATTGGTTGGGTTTCTCGAGGTACGTATCTGTATATGTTAACTAGGGCTTATAAGTTTCGTTCTTATGTCTCTACTGTTCACGATTTCAGATTCGAAATTGTTCAAAGTTTCGGTTTTGGTTTAGGATTCTTTGCCCCTTTTTTGTTTCGAAGCGAAGGTTTGTTAAAGGCAAATATTGTTTTATGCTTTGGTGTTTCTTGTTATCGTTATGTAGTCATCTTTGCACTAAGTTGTATGTGTTTAAATCATAGTTCTCAGGAATCCCAAATGGTTTGATCATCAGTTTTGAAGATTGAAATTGTTACTCAACGTGTTATCTTGTATAATTGTCACACAAGTCAGTGTGGTAAGTGTCTGAATATGGTTTTGGTTTCAATAGATTGATAGTATCGCTTGGATTTGGAGGAGGAATCTCACACTAGCTTTTTATTTTTGCCTTTGTTGCTGATTTTTTTCTGACAGAGTTACTGATTTACATATCTGGAAGCTTACTCTGCGTGAAACCGTCTTCATTGAGGTACTTTCTGTGTCTAAGAAATCAAAATGCATGTAATTTTTCGTTTTTTCGAATTTCTATCTTTTGAAGATGGACTTCAAACGAAGACAAAGTCAAACACATTTGATCATTTCTAAATTATGATTATGCCATAACATTTTGAAATCCAAAAGAGATCATAGGCAAGCACTAATCTAATAATGTTCTGTCTGGTTTTTATTTGGGTTACATTGTCTCGTAAGAAATCTATTGGTTGGTAGTGCATGTCTAAAGACGACTTGGAATCTATTGGTTGGCTGGTAGTGCATGCTTAAGAGTCTTAAACAAAGAATATGTTGGGATGAGAAAAAAAATTGACCCATGGCTTAGTGAAAAGGTCCTTAGATGGAACAGATGGCTAATCGCGTAAATAAGACTCATTGGATTGGAAAAACGACCAACAACTTAATAGATGTCTTTAAGACCAGTGCCGGCTCTTGGGGTGTGCCCAAGGTGCACAGGCACATGGTCTTGTTTTTTTTGAAAAAAAAAATCTATAAGAAATTAAGGTCCAAATTTATTAAAAAGTATAAAGATTGGGACTGTTTTGTAAATTTATAGAAATATAGAGTTATAATTTTGGGGAAAAAAAATCATCTGAGCCCAGGGTCCATAATTCACCTAAGATGAACCTGTTTAAGACAAAGACTAACCACAAAGAGATTGGATGAGCTGCCTTACGATTTTGTTGTATGGAAAGAAAAACAGACTAGAGCTTAAATAAGCTTAAGACAAAGTCTGAAACTAAAATAAAATATTTACACAAAAGAGAATATGGGGTCCTTTGTGGAAATAAAAGAGTTCAAACGGTCTACAAAAGTATTTAACTTGACAAAGATTATGAATCAAACACAGACTCTTATTTAACTATACACGGCTTAGAAGTCTCTTAAGAAAGAAAGCATGTGCTCTGACTTGTTGGATGGTAGAAAACAAGTGACTTGCTGTATTAATAAAAGACCAACGGCTTTAAAAAATCATAAGGTGAAGATTCTTGACAATATGAATCGGCAACAGAATCTTATGCAACCATGCGGCTTAAAAGTCTTCTGAAAAGCAACTTGGTTTTGGTATAATAACCAATAGCTTTAAAATTTCTCAAGACAAAGACTATATACCAAAAACACAACCCACGGCTATAAATCTTTCATGACTGAGACAATGGATGAATAACTGATTCTTTACTATGCCATACGACTTCAAATACGCACAGACTATGAGTTGGTATTAAACAGTTTCGTAGATAAACAACCTGCGGCTTAGAAAAGTCACTAAACAAAGACAATGGCTTGGTTTACGTTTTGTTGGATGAGAAAAACAAACGACCAACAGCTTAAGACATAGTATTAAAAAGCCTCTTAAGACAAAGACCATGTCTGAAATCAGTATTAGAGCATAGCTTACACAAAAAAAAATAACTCACGGATTAGGAGAGTCCACAGCTTAGGAAAGTCTGTTGACAAAGACGACCAATGGCTTAAAGATGTCTTAAGATAAAGATTCTTAACAAAGACGACCAATTGCATTATTATTGTTTTCAAGAGAATATTTTATTATTAATAATTTATTTTAGTTTGAAAAATATAAACAAAAATCTAATGTCACCATTCGAATTTTAAAATATTAAAATTCACAGCAGGATTAAAAACCAAATTCTAAAATTTAAAAAGTAAAATCCAAAAAAAAAAACTTAGAGGAGCTTATTGTATTAAGGATTTGATAAAAAATAATAAAATTTTCAGATCTCGAGTGATTTGGTGGGTTTTAAAGATTTTGATGGAGACTTTAATGGAGAATTTGGTAGAGTTTTAAAACAAAACAAAAAACCAATAAATCCATTTTTGTTAATATTTCAAAACACCACCGATTGGCTTTATACATCTGATCCTTTATTACTTCAACTAAAACGTGAGAATTATTTCCCATCAACAAAGAATAAATTTTCTGGAGGTCAACATATACCACTAACCTAAAGTTACTTGAGAGATACATATATTAGAATTATACTAAAACCATTGTAGGAACTCAATACTGATATGACTATTTGATATCAAGAATAGACACATAATAAGAAAGCTTGAGTTATGATGATTTTTTTCCAACACTTTATTCCAGTTGATCGGAGAGTTTAAAACAAAAGTTTACTTATAAATTCTTATTTTCCTAAACTTAAATAAAAAGTAGAAACTACTTCACTTGACATCAATATCGCCTTCGACTGTCAAGTGTCTTCTTGTAATATGTCCTGCCAACAATGTCATAAATCATACAATATCAGTCAAGAATATGAACCATAGACACTTTAAATAAAACACAAAGAATTATAACTTACTGTATGCATATATCACCGTTGAGATCCACTAATAATAACATCATTCCACATACTTAAAGCAATTGCTGCTCTTCATTCATTGGCATGTTCTCTTTGTTGTTCTTGTGTGACAAGGAACTGATGACCACTGGTACTTGATTGGGTTGCAATTTGTGCAATAGAAATTTCTTCAGGAGGAAATTCATCTGAACGATATTTCTGACGAAAATAATTATGCAATGCAGCACATGCAAGCACTAATTCTTCTTGGGTCTTATATGGAAAACTAGGTGCAGATTTAAATATCAAAAATCTCGAGTTAAAAATACCAAAGATCCTTTCGACGACATTTCTCAAGTAAGCATGACGATGGTTGAATAATTCTTCTTTATTCTTGGGATCACTGTTTCCTTCAGTAAATTCGTTGAGATGATAACGAGTACTCCGGAATGGAGTTAGAAATTTTTTTCGGTTGGCATATCCACAATCAGCTAGATAAAATTTTCCTGAAATATTTCAAATATACAATATAAATAAGAATCAGAAAATTGTGAATAAAATAACATATCTTAAACATAGATAACATATCTTCGGGGACTTCAAATTTATTGCTACTTCTTGTTAAAGCATCATTTAACACTTTTGCATCATGAGCTGAACATTCCCAACCAGTAAGAACATATATGAATTGCAAATCAAAATTGTATGCAGCTAGCACATTTTGGGATAAAATTCCTTTCCTGTTTTGATAGCTAGCAGTTTCATTTCCTTCTACCATAGCAGGAATATGTGTTCCATCAATAGCTCCAACACAATCCTAAGAAAAACAAATTAATGGATAATTTTAAGCCAAAAAGAGAGAGAAAAAACTATTTTACATACCTTAAAATAGAGATAAAATCTTGTACTCTTACTTTTGAAGGCACACCATTTCCTGGTTTAGCCATCAAACTTGGACCAATAGTATTTAAGACCCTCAAGATCTTATTAAAACTTTGACTTATTGCAAAACTCTATCTCTTGAATACATCTCGTAGGAGAATATATCTCATGCTTTGGCCAACAATGAGCAAAAATGTGGCAAGCATTTCCTCAGTCGAAATCCATCTGGTATATCTCTTAAGGATGTTTTTTCTCGGATAAGAGTACACAAATCCAAAAAAAATCTGGATACATACGATATAAACTTCGAAAATATTCTGGATCTTCAGTAAGACCATTTTGAATATACTCATTTCCAAGTCTAATGGTTGGCTTCTTCAGCGGACGTTGAATTTGTGAACATAGATAATGTGCTAGAATAGAAATTTTCACATTGATAGTTGACATCAACAGAAGTATATCCATGTCTGATTGAAAGCTCCTTTTTCTTTTTCTACTATTTCTTTGTTGTAGTTCTTTTTCATTAACTGGTTGATCCATGACTGAAGAATCTGAAATTTATTATCAAAAACAAAAAATCACATTAATAAGAAAATTGACACCATTTGGTTCGTGTATTATACACATCACTGGTTTCTCATGATTACATTTTTTTGTAGTTTAACTCAAACGTAAGCAAATAATCATGTGTTGCTATTGGGTGTCATGAATTCAACGACAATATTTGCACAAGGTTTAAATATACACATTTAAAATATTAAATAAAAAACAACATTGCCAGAAATGTAGAAAATGATCAGAGACATGTTAATTATAACCTACAAGAAAATAAAAAGATCCATTAAAAACTTGTATTTTATTATTAAAAAGCAAAAACATCAAGAAGTAAGAAAACCAGAAATAAAATAAAAACCCTCGAAAAGCATAAAACCATCTTTCTTCCCCGTAAACTTCATGGCTTACGTATAGAACGTTTAATCCATTTAAAGCGTTCCTCCATCGTCATACTCATGAATCCAGCTTTCATACCAAATTTGTGAACCAAATTCATGGCATCAAAACATTCATTTTCTTCCAAATCAGGAATTTCCTTAATTGCAGCCCATACGTTATCAGCTTTTTCTTCAGCTTCTTTTTCGTCAGCTTCCTTCTCTCATCTTTGTTGTATCATACTGAAAATCTGGTTGGTTGTTCCAGTGACAGCACATATCTCATCAGAAATTTTCTCCACATTATATGTATCAATTTTAGCTCTCTTTCTTATTGGGAGTTTTTCAGTGGCATTCCTACGTCTTAAAGATAAAGCTTGTTCCACACTATCAGTATCATCATCATCATCATCATCCTCATCATCACCCACCCTTTCAGGAACATATCCTTATTGATATTCCCATTCATCATCTCTTGCTACATAAGTACGAGCGTCTGTGGTCTCTCCTAACCCAACTGTATTATTTCCTTTTGCATTATTTTGTCTGTAGATCTTCTCTAGGTCTTCAAAATCATCAAACGTATCATCACGTAAATGTGTATCTTTTTTGTGTCCCTATTGTTAATAAAAAACAGTTAGCATATGAGACAGAAACATATGCATAAGAAATAACCCATCATAACTTTACGCAAATTACGTACCTTGAAATACTCTTCCCATACTTCATTTGGTGCAGTGAATTTCTTCGTGTCCTTATCCCAATCAAATCCTGAACTAAAACGGAGAAGATCTACAAAACTCTTGTGCTTTCTCTTCAGAATTTTTGTTTTGTTTTTGTATTGGGAAAAAGTTTGTGTAGATCCACAAATTCTGTTTAGCTCTGGTAGTATTCTTTGTTCCACGGTAAGTTTGTTAAATTTACCACTCCCATCAAGGCCAATTCTGTTTACACCATCAACCAACAAGCGCAACAAAGTTTTGGTTTCTTGGGGGGACCAAGGAACGTAGGAATTTTTAGTTTTCCCTTCTTGTATATCTCCCATCTTAGTGGAAAATATAGCTACCCAAACAGATAAAAAAATATATAACGACTATAAAAACTAAGAAGAACAAACACGACCATATCATTCAACCTTCAAGCAAAGTTTCATCACAAATAACTTCATGGTTGTGGAAAAGCAACATAAACAATAGTAAAATAAAAACTCTAACCTTTCTTTTCTCCAAGAAGATGCAGACAATATAGGTTCTTTGATGAAGTTTGATACAGGTATATATATATATATATATATATATATATATATATATATATATATTTATTTTTTTTTTTTTTCTTTGAGTATAACTAATGAAAAGATAATCTCAAACAATCCTTATCAAAACAAACAATATCGTATATATTATTTCAATGATTATCGATATCAAAGTTAAGTAAACTTTTAAAAAGAAAATATCCTAGACATATTTTTTATCGTTATCAATATATCAAAGTTAAATTTTGATTAACGAGACAAGAAGCTACTTTTATTTCTGATAACACAACGATTATAGAACATTATATTAACCTCCTTGCTCAAGTCTGTAGTTGTAGTTGTGTACAGTGATTTGTTGCTGTAGAACAAACCAGAATGGAAAAAGTTGTCATTGTCGAGAATAATGAATTCTTTGGAGGAAGACGGTTATAGTGATTAGGAGGTGGTACCAGAGAAGTAGCGTCGGGAGAGACATAGCGTTAAAGAGGGATTGGATGGTTGTCTTGATTTGCTCTCCGACTTGTCATGTGTTATTCCCTTCTTACTCTCCAATATTCTCAGGCAATCAAATTTGTTAAGAAAGCTTAACTGAGTTAAGAAAACATGGTGCGAAGCTTCATCACCAGACTAGTGTGAAGACAACAACATATTAATGTTACCTCTTCTAAGTGTTGTGCAACTAAAGAGGAAGGTATTGTTTCGGTGTGAGAATGTGTACATCGATGTTTTTGCTGTAGAACAAACCAGAGCGGAGAAAGTTGCAAATTTCGAGATTAATGGATTCTTTGGAAGAAGAAGGTTAATGATTAGAAGGTGGTAAGGGAAGTAGCGTTAGGAGAGACGTGGTTTTGGAATTACTGTTTTTCATTTTTAAGTTCCACCTCTTGAGGTGGTATTCTTTTGTATTGAATTTACGGCGTAAATTATTTTTTCTAATAATCCCTAATAATCTTAGATATAAATTATTAATGAAATCCATATTTTCCAATAATGGGAGTTTTGATTTGAGTTTTATAAATGCTATATCCAATAAGCATGGATTTGTTAGAACTTTTATAAATACCATATACAATAAGGGAGGATTTGGAAAAAAAAACTAAAAAACTTTTAAATCCCTAATACAATAAGCCCCCCTTAACTTCAAAAACCAAGTAAAATAATCATGACCTTGATAAGATTAAACGTAGGAAATGCGGGACCGGTCTGATTGTAAAATAATAACCGTTAGGACATGTACGGTTTAGGTGGAAAATGCATGCCCGGTTCGCTTGAAGATAAGTTGACTCGGTTTTATAATATAGGCGTTTAGGGCATGATTATCGGCATATCTTAGGATATATCTTAGGTAATATTTGTAATTAATTTAAATGAAAATTAGGCGAAATCACGAAGGACGCTCTTAGCTAAGATGTTTTTTTACGCGTCCTTTGGTGATACGTGGCGAGCTTGGAATGGCCATGAAAAGCGGTGAGGGAAAAACCGATTTCGTCACTGTATCCTCGTCTCCTTCGTTCTCTCTCGAGAAAATAATGATGAGCTTCCTAAGGAGATCCATCGGCAGCCTATCAAAATCGAAACTGGCTTCGTTTTCCTCCGCTTCTCCAATCCGAAAATCATCGGTTTGTCCTTTTCTCTTTAGCACTTTTTTTCCCAATAGCATGTCGTTTCTGTGTTATTAGGATTTCAGATTCTTTTTGCAGGAGAGGGAGATCAGATATTGATTCTTCTTCTACATAGTCATGAATCATGTTGTACTTTGTTAACAATTATAAACAAAATAAAGAAAGATAACAGTTTTATTTTCTTCCAACAATCAAATTACACTTTGCTTTTGCTTTGATCTCTACAGTGACAAGGAAACACTTTTTTCTGAGGAATACTCAGTTGCTAGTTGAGAGAATTTGAGATCCGGTTTAAGGAAACTATGTTGTGGAGGTTGGGATCTTGTGAGTGTGTTGTGGTTACTGTGATGGATCTTGTGAGTTTAGCTCTTGAATTTCCAATTTTGTTACTGATTTTCCTGCACTGATTTGATCAAATTGGAATGTGGAGCGGTTCATATAGTTTCATAAGGCTTTTGTTATTTGAAATCAGCTTCTCTAGTCTCAGTTTGAGCCTTGGAGCTATGTCTTCTGCTTTGTGTAAACCTTTAGTTGCTGTTTGCTAGTGTGATTGCTTAGCTCTTCTCTTCCTCTGTATCAACTTATTATAGTCTAATTGGTTATGGAAGTAGCATATAGTCGATACGTTTCTGTTGTATTGCTGATTGCGATAAGAAAACAGAGTGATTAGTTTGCAAAGGTTCCTTTAACCCTAGTCTCTCTTGAGAATAAGGTTAATGGTGGAGTAAGTTATTTGAAATTAGCATTTGATATGTTTACTCTATTGCTTTGGTAAAACCTGTGTTTATACTTGTTGGAGTGATTGCTTGGCTCTTGTTCTGTTGTGTATCAACTACTACAGTAAAATTTGCTGTGCAAGTATCCATATAGTCTCCCATAAAAGCTTTTGTTATTTGAAATCGTCATTCAAAGTTTCACTTTATGCGCTGTTTATGCCTTAGTTGTGTGTTGTGTGTTATTCTTCCAGGTGGATTTCTTTTCCTTGGGCTGATGATAGACAGGCAGCACCACTACATGAGAGAGCTGCGCATGAGAAGGAAGAGAATGGAAGTTATAAAGAAAGAAGGAACGGTTTTGAAAGGTGAGAAAGCCAGAGCTTTAGAAGAAGTCAAAAGCTTGAAACAAGAAATCACGTCCCTTGCATTCAGATCATCAAGACTGCCACTGTCCCTGCCAAGCTTTGCAAGAGGGAGAGTACCAAGCAGTTCCACAAGAGATCACGTCCCTTGATTTTGTGGTTCTTGTTTCTTCTTGATTTTGAAGAAAGTCCTTTTTTTTTGTTTCTTGATTCTTTAGTTGTTCTTTCTAAATAAAGTGCTTGAAAATAAGCAACATTCACAAGTAATCAATATCTGAATTGTATATTTGTAAAAAAGAGAAGATAACATTGTTATTTAAGAGACAAAAAATAAACTAAGAACTAAAAATTAAGGACTACCAATAATCTACATTCTTAACTAAGTCCTTAACTAAAACTCTTAACTTAACTATAATAATAAAATAATCTAAGTACTAAAAATTGGGACAACCAATAATCATGCCCTTAGAGAACGCGTGTTCGTAAACGCAGAAGTGAGTCTTATCCCTTTTGAAAATATATCCGTTAAACTATTAAACCTATTTCCTTCTAACTTTTTCATTCACAATTTTTCTCCATGTGAAGAGTTGTGAGACTTCTGACGATTTGACTCTTCAAAAATTTGGAAAACCAGAAAATCCGATTACATAGTAAGTGTTTCGACTAATCTTTGATTCCGATTATGTTTCTGGGTTTCAAAATTTCTTAATTGTTCAATCTCTTTCCTTTTGTATAGATCTTGATTCCGCTTGAAACCGATGCGATTGGTTGGGTTTCTCCAGGTACGTCTCTGTATATGTTAATTAGGGCTTATAAGTTTCTTGTTTATGTCTCTACTGTTCGCGATTTCAGTTTCCTAATTGTTCAATTTTCGATTTGCTGCAGGGATCTTGGTTTAGGGTTCCTTTTCTTGTTTTCCTTCGAAGCGAAGGTTGTTGACTTAATCTTTGAGGTAAATAATTTTGTTTATGCTCTGGGGTTTCTTGTTTTCGCTTTGAAGCTAAGCGTTTTTTTTTTTTTTTTTTGCAAAATAGCTAAGCTTTGTTGTCATCTCTGATCTACACTGTATGTGTTTGCGCTGAGATTTAATGATTAATTTGAATAATCGTTTATGTCACAAATGATGTTAGTGGTAGAAAAGATTCGTATCTTCACCATATGCATAGCGTTGTGTTTAAATCATAGTTCTCAGGAATCTCAAATGGTTTTCATCACCTTTTAAGGTTTGTTCTCAATGTAGGTTTGGCTAGAGGAGTGTTGAAGATTGCAATCGTTACTTTAACAGGTTTCTGACAGAGTTACTGCAAGATTACTCTGCGTGAAACCATCGTCACTAAGGTAATTTCTCTTTCTGTGAAATTAAAAATGCAAGTTTGAGGATGGAATTCAAACCAGAACAAAGGCAAACACATTAGATCAGTTCTAATCGTTGTCATAGCATTTTGAAATCCAAAAGAAATCATAGGCAAGCACTAGTCTAATAGTGTTTTGTCTGATTTTTATTTGGGTAACATTGTCCCGTAAGGAAACTAATGGTTGGTAGTGCATGTCTAAAGAAGTATGCTATGAGAATGGAAAACAAGACCCGTAATCGGTTGGTTGGTAGTGCATGCTTAAAAGTCTTATTATGACACAGACTATATGGGGAGGAGAGAACAAAAAAAATGACCCATGGCTTATAAATGGTCCTTAGATGGAAAATCGACCAATGGCTTAAATAACACCCGTTGGATTGGAAAAACGATCAATAGCTTAAAGATGTCTTAAGACAAACACCACAAGTCTTAAACAACTATGTCTTTGTGACAACAACAAGACTTAAAGTAGACAAAGTCTATGAGTTGGATGGGTTGGTGTACTATTTGTTGGATGGAAAAAAAACGACCAACAGCTGAAATAAGCTGTAAGACAATGTCTGAAACAAAAGTCTCGACACAAAAGATAATATGGGGTTTGCTTAGAAAAGGGTCCTTGGTGGAATAAAAAAGTTCAAACGGCTTAGAGAAAGTCTCTTGACAAAGACAAAAGGGGTCAGTTTTTAGAATGCTGGATGGAAACAAAATGACCAGTGGCTCAGACAAAGACAGACAAAAGAAGACTTGTTGGATGGATTAAGAACGACCAATGGTTTGGATAAGTCTTGAAACAAAGACTATGACCACATGGTGACAAAAACTATGTTTGCTTGATAAATACAAGGCTTAAAAGTATACAAAAGAGTATGAGTTGGATGGGTGTAATGACCAACTCTTATGACAAAAATGGGAAGAATGACAAATGATCTTAAATCAGTCTTAACATAAAAACTTAATCGAAAACAGTTTCTGCTTTCTAAAATATCTAGACAAAGACTATGGGTTGGTATGATGACCCACATCCTTACAAAAAAAGGTCTTTAGACGAAGGAAATCGCTTGGTTTACTTATTTGTTGGATGGAAATCATGACGATTAAACTTGACTACGTCTGAAAAAGCTCTCAAGACAAGTACTATGAGTTGGTTCGTAATTTTGTGGATGGAAAGAATGAACAATTGTCCTTAAGGCATAGCTGATACAAACACAAGGATTATAACATAGGCTGCCTACGGCCTAACGAATCATAGCACACAGATTCTAAACAAGGATTATGAATCCAAAAGCGATTCTTTACTCCAGACAAAGACAATATGGGTCCGTTGGAAACATTGACCAAAAGGCTTAAATACCTATTTTATGTCATTATATGAATGAAAACGATAATGGCTGAGAGAATACTTGTTGGATGAAGAAAATAACAACAGCTTTTAAAAAGTCACAAGACAGAGTACATGAACCAAAAGGCTTAAAGACCTATTTTTGATAACCCACAAGGCTTAAAAGTAGGCAAAGTCACTATATGTTGGATGTAATAACTAATAGCCTCAAATCAGTCTTAAGACAGATATGAAATGAAAACTACCACAGCTTAGAAAGGTTATTCGAGAAAGACTTGCATCCAATCTAGACTTGTTGGATGGTAAAACAGCTTACACTTGCTGTATAAAATGATACCCAAACGGCTAAAGAAACCAACTGCTTTCAGATTCTTGACAATGATTATGAATCAAACACAGATTCTTATTTAACCACACACGGCTTAGACGTCTCTTGAAAAGGAAAGTCTATTCCCCGACTTGTTGGGTGGTAGAAAGCAACTAAAGACTTGTTGTATTGATAAAAGACAGACGGCTTTAAAAATTCATGAGGCAAATCTTCTTGGCAATATGAATCAACAACAGGTCACATACATGGCTTAAGAGTCTTCTGGAAAAAAAAATATGACTTGGTTTTGGTATTAATAACCAACAGCTTTAAAATGTCTCACGACAAAGACTGTAGATGGAAAAACAACCACGGCTAAAATACATTAAATCCCTCATGCCTGAGTCTGAAATTATGGATGGAGAACTGATTCTTTACTCTGCCAGACAACTTCAAATAGAAAGTCTCAACACACAAACTATGAACCATAAGGTTTAAAGAGTTGTTTCTGCTTGATATTCACTAGGCCTTATAAAGTATACAAAGACTATTAAGTTGGATGGAAATAATAACCGACTCATACTCTGAAATCAGTCTTAAACAGGGACTACCAAATGGCTTAAAGAATCATAACGCAAAGATNTGGATCCTACGAGATGAAAATGGATGTACACTCATGCATAGTCGGCGTGCTTATTCTTATATGCGTACAAAAGCAGAGGCCGATCTATGGTCTCTTTTCTGGGCTGTGGAATGCATCCACAATTTGCATTTCTCGAATATTATTTTTGAGACTTCCTCTGAGGACCTCCATGACATTTTCAGTAATCCGGATAACCATCTCAGTCTCAGCCTTGTCCGCCACAATGTCTACTTTCTGCTATCCAAGATTGCTCTCTGGAGTCTAGATCACGCACTCCAAGAACGGAATGAAGCTGCTGACGCTATTGCTATAAGTG